ATTAAGAATAACCCACCCAGCTTCATTAAGCAGCAAATTAAGAGGAGCATTATCAGGGAAATGTTTGAGAAGGGATTGATGGTAATCAAAATCACTTATACTACGGCCACCACACCAATGATCCCATTTAAGAGAAACCATAGAGTTAACAGTAACTCTAAAATTCATATTTGGTTTAGCAAAGTTAGCAGAACTGCAAATGCTCTTCCACATGGAGGAGGAATAAGTAGGCAGAATTTTCTAAGGAGATTCATATTTAATAAAAAAACAATGCGACAGTAAGGCATCACCATTGTAAATCCTCAAAATAAGTGAACAATCAAAAGCATAACAGAGAGCTTGAAAAGATGGCAGTCCTAGACCACCAATAGCTTTAGGTTTACAGGTGTTGGCCCATGACACCATATTAAGTTTGTTTGCTGTGATGTCCCCAAAATAGAGGAACTTAGCAGATAATTTAGCAATTTGCTTACAACATCTTTAAGGTATGATGGCCCCTCGAATCCAGTAAGCAATAGAGTTCCAGATGGTGAAATGTAAATACTGAAGTCTACCAGCAAAAGAAAGGGATTTCGCTTTCCAACTCGAGAGCTTATTAGAAATTGTGTCAAGAAGAGAGGAGAAATCAGATATGAGGATTCTCTTAATGAAAATGGACATCCCCAAATAAATAAGCTTATGACAGAAATCCAGAATATTAAGAGAGTCATAAATATCCTTAACATGAGGATTGTTAGGTTGCATAATAATAGAGCTCTTATTCGGGTTGATAATGAGACCGGAAGAAGTAGCAAAAGTGGTAAGAATACCATTAAGGACATTGCAATTAGCAAGAGAGGCCTGTCCAAAAATTAGAGCATCATCAGCATAGAGAAGGTGAGAGAGAAGGAAACCATTAACATCCACCGGTTGAAAGGAGTTTCCCTGAATTTGATCATCAAGCAGACAAGATAGAGCATCCATGGTAAAGTAAAAAATGTAAGGACTAAGTGGACAACCTTGGCGCAGACCAACAGAGGAAGAAAAATAACCTTCAAGATTACCGTCGATGCAAATAGAGAAATTGACGTTATAAATACAGGCAGTCACCCATTGAATGAAAGTATGAGGGATTCCCTTTTGAGCCATTCTATGGAGGACAAATTCTCTAGAAAGAGTATCAAAAGCCTTTTTGATGTCCAATTTTACGCACATGTACCTAACATTGGTACATTTCTTAAATAGACCCAACATTTCTGCAGCCAATATGACATTATCAGTAGAGACCCTTTTGTTTATAAAACCTGCTTGAGCCGGATGAATAATCAAAGGCATGAAAATCTTAAGCCTTGTCACAAGAATTTTGGCTATAATTTTATACAAGGTATTGCAAAGTGAAATAGGTCTGAAGTCTGATATATAACTAACATGAGCAAATTTGGGAATTAGAGCAATGGCTGTGGCTTTTAAGCAGTTAGGAATGTAACCTTTGTTAAAAAAGGAAGAAACAACCTTACAGAGAGAAGGCCCAAGGATGTGCCATCCGGTCTTGTAAAAGTGGGAATTAAATCCATCGGGCCCAGGGGAGGAGGAAGACGCTCCCGAGAAGACAGCATGCTTGATTTCATCATAAGTAATCGGGCCAACCAAGAGAGATTTTAAGTTTTTCGGAACCTGCTTACCAACATGAAAAGAGGCAATCTCAGGGATGCTTGGGTTTGAAGGGTTGAGAAGTTTTTGGAAAGGCTGAATGATGGAGTTTTTGGCGTTAGCAGATGAGTCATGACTATTGTCCATCACAGAGAGAAGAGCAGAATTGTTAAAAGACCTCATTCTAATTCTAGAATAAAGAAACTTGAGATTGTCTTCATCATCTTTGAGCCATTTGACTTTTGCCCTTTGAGAGTTATAGCTCTCATTTGAAATGACCTCAAAAGTTTCAAAAAAAAAAAAAAAAAAAAAAAAAAAAAAAAAAAAAAAAAAAAAAGAACTATTCTGCATGTGATCTAATGTCTCCGGTACTATAAGACATCATCGCCTGAAATCTCGCGTCTAAAGCTGTTGTTGAGCCGGGCACAGCATTTGAAACGTCCACGCCTTAGCTAACAGAGCAAATATATATCGCATCTCCTGCAGTACAGCTTGATGAATGGATCCAGAAAACTTTTCCAAGGAAATATTGCATGTGCAACAGATCTGCACCCGTAATTAGCTTCATACAAACAGTCCGAGCCAACCGTTTTCTGCGTGAGAAAAATATTATTACCCAATTACCTGGAAATTAAAAAAATAATATTTACATTTTGTTTATTTATGAAAGTAATATCTAATTATAAATTGATACTGAATATTCATCTCATCAAACAACGAATTCTTATGCAATATTTAAATTAAAATTTTTTGGAAGCAAATTCATTATTATAGAGATTCCAATTTTATCAAATTTATAGTTGACTAAGGATTCGTTTGGAACAGCTTTCGTAGTGCTTCCTAAAATGACTTTCAAGTATAAAATTTTCTTATTCAAGAAATTCTTGTTTTAAAAGATGTTTTAGAAAGTAACAAAAAAGTTGTAGCAAATAAAGCCTAAATGTCTTGATGTGATAAGCTTAATTACAACAAAAGTGTTCTGATCGAAGTCCAAATGAGTTTAATTCAAAAACTTAAAGTGAAATTGCTTATATTAGTAATTGAAGGACTAAACAATCTCAAAATATTGCATGTTTATAATCAAAATGAGAGTCTCGACAAAAGGAATTCAACAAGCCTAAGGCTTCATTTTAGATGACTTTTTATTAGTTTTTAAAACAGAGTTTCAGTACAAAAATTCAAACTCTGTTTTAAAAAGCAATAAAAAAGTAGTCCCAAATGTGAAGGAACTTTTATTACGTCCTTTGACTGGACGTAGATCTACGTTCGGTCAAAGGATTGTTACTCGATTTTTGCTCGGTATTTGGTTGGTATTGCTAGGTGATAATAACGAGGAATACCACTATGGGAAGACCAATACCGAGTAATACCGAGCAATACCGAGTATTACCAAAAAATACCGAGTTTTTCTAGAAAAAACTATGTATTTTTTGGTATTACTCGGTATTGCTAGGTATTACTCGGTATTTTGTTTTCACATAATGATATTTTTCGTTATTATTGGTATTGCTCGGTATTTGCTTGGTATTTCTCATTTTTTGCCTGCGATCTTAGTGCCGGCCGAACATAGCTCTATGTACGTTCACCAAACCAAATAAAAGTTCCAAATGAAGCCTAACTGTTACAACCTAACCTAATATAACTCACAAACAAAATCATTCTTATCATGTTTAATAGCGACAGACCAAGCACAAAATCTAATCTCAAATTATGGGCAAAGAAAGAGTTGCCAATAGTGGTGCTCCTACTATTGATATTTCTCTTTCAGATCATCATGACCTGAAGAACTTAGTTCCAATTAATCCCTCACAAAATTATGAGTGTGCTTCTTCTGCCTCTAATACCCCTATTATTATTCCTAACTTAAACTAACATTTTTGTAACCCTCTTTTTTCATCTATTATCCCTTCACTTACTATGGGGGAATTAAATTGGTTGCTTTCTTCTTAAAAATTTGTTTTGCTTAACAATGTTTAAACATCTATGGTTTGTAGCCTCGAGCCCTTATGTTCAAGTTCAAGGGACCATTAATAATCATTCTAAGGGTGCCAAAAAGGTTTTAAACAGAACTCTAAGATTCATTGATTAAGACTAAAATTGTTGTTTGGAATATTCGTGGTTATAACAAACCTAATAAGGTTTTGATGAGCAAAAAATTTACTAGTTTTCATAAACTTGACTTACTTTGTATTTTGAAAGCTAAGATTCATAACATCTCTCTTTGTGATGCTTGATTTTTTTTCTTCTCACAAGGTCTTTGATATGGATAATACATGTAATAATGTTGGTTTGAGCTCTCCTAGTTGTATTTCAGTTAAGCAGAATACTTCCTATGGTAATTATATTTCTGTCTGCATGGATAGCCAATTCATTCATGGAAAAATTTGATTTAATGGTTATTTTTTCAGCTTTTTAACTTTCATTTATGTTTCTAAGTCTCCCTATGAAAGAGATTTACTTTGGCAACAACTTATTAGTCTTTGTGGTGATATTTCTAAACCTTGGGATATGTTAGATGATTTCAATTACTTCAGGTATCTTAATGACAGGGATGGGGGCACCCTATGGCTATAAGTAAGCTATGGACCTTTAATAACAAGATCTTTGTTAATGGACTTCATCATTTGGCATCTTCTGGTTTGTTTTACACATGATATAATCACAGGATTTATTATCCTATACATATTAAACTTGATAGGGTGTTGCTTAATGATTGTTGGCTCGAGCATTTTCCTATGTCATTTTATAAAGTTGAAACCCCTTTATATTGTGATCATTCCCCTTTAGTTTTAGATTTCAACATTCTTCTGCTTGCTAATTATAGATTCATGTTCAAAAACTTTTGGCTCAGATATCATTATTATTGAGATGCCCTCATTTCTTCTCTATGAAGTTCAATGGGGATCCTATTACAATTTGGTATAATATTATTTTTAATCTTAAAAGGAATATTGAATCTAAAGTCGATGCTGTGCGATGAAGATAGAATATCAATTTTGATACTGTTTTGTTTCTTCATCATCTATTTCTTATTTTTCTCTCTCAGTAGGTATAAAAATTGATATTCCATCTTTATCGCATAATATTGAACACAAATTTAAGATAATTATTGTATTTGAGCTAATTTATGTGCAACTTGATATTTAATATGTGGAGCCGATTTATACCTTTATACGCTATCAGCCATTCTTATCGCTTTGGCATCCTTCTGTATTATTGCCCAGTATTTAGTTTCTTAAAATAATTTCATTAATCTTTGTATGAATTAGCCAATGAAAATCTTTTTTGCAGTTTTTTTTTTTAATTTTTTATTTTAGGAAATCTTTTTGGAGTTTCATTAACATAGAATTACACCTCGCTCATAAGCCGACATTCTTTCTCTCTTTTTCACCCGCAGTCTGCATCGTCTCGCTTTCTGTGATCTCGCTGTCTGGCATTCAAAAAGCATCTGACCAAAATTTGCCTCGCCGAGAAGAAGAGAGAGAGAGAGAGAGAGATTTGCCGAAAAAAGGGATACATTTGTTAAAAAAGAGAATAGGATCCTTCCCTGGGAAGCCAGCGGATGAGCTCCGAGGTAGGGGCGGGGATGCAGATGTGGGAGAGGCTGCTCTTCTTGGATCCTCCTAGATAGCAAAACTTAATCGACGAGATGAAGGGCTATGCGGCGGCGGCAGGATCTAGTACAAAGCAGCGGCGATGGAAATGGCTTGCCCTGGCCGTCCTCATGCTTGTCTTCTTCTCGATGCTCGTCCCTCTATCCTTCCTTCTCGGCCTCCACAACGGCTTCCCCGTCGGTGCGTTGCCAGAATCTATTTTACTTTCTTTAACTTCCCCCTTCTTCTTGATCAGGATCGCAGGATTTTACCCGATACAATGCGATCCTGCTGGCGGGGCAGGCATTGGACGGCCGCGGGAAGATTTCCGCTGACTCCTATACTGTGCTGGCCGTACAAAACCTTTGGAAACTTAGTAAGCTTTTTCAGGTGTTTGGATGAGTACGCGTGCTGGATTTGGTATCTTCACGCATTAACTGGTTCAGAATCACCCGTGTCGTAATTGCGCTTTCATAACCTTGTTGTGGATCTTACGTTGTCAATAATTGCATTTTGCAGTTCTGAATTATCTGATCACTAATATAGCCTGGCTTTCTGACCTTATGCGCTTTTATAACTTTTGCAGGATGGTTGAGTGATGAGAGCTCACCGTTGGTGAGGAATTGTTTATGACATTTCATACATGATTATTTTGTTTGCTAAGATGGTGCTTTAATCATAAAAAATGTTTTAAAACCAGGATTCCTTTGAATTTGATGGCAATGGTATCATAGAGAAGAATTCATCAAAGGTGCGGCTCTCTCTTCACTGCTTTTTAAGGATCAGCTGTATGAAGTTCTATTTGAACACATGCTTGGAGTTTATTGTCTCAAGTTTTATGTTCTTTGGTTTTGTACAGGGTGATTCCAGGGTCGAGCAAATGTTGAGGAATTTTACACCATCTTTGCCAGAGGTATGACGTGTTTGAAACATGGGGTGTGATTTTCGTCTCTAGGCTTTCATATTTTCAAACTTAGTTTGTATTTGTAGACCATAATCTACAGGAGAACGTTTTTATGTTGAATTGGCTGCTGATGATGTCTTAACTCGAAAGGGAACTTACATTCAAGAACTCATAAGCATGCAATATTTCCTTAATTAGTATTCAAATTTTCTTGTTTTCTTATTACAAGGATAGTTATATTTTTTAACCAACAGCCCAATCGGTTTATATCATTCTCATCGTCTCTAAGATTGTTCTATACTTTGGATGTGTATTTTTTCTTCGAAGAGTGATTTTAATGCCTTATAACCTGATGTGCTCTATCTGCTTAACTTTTTAAAATAATATTTCATTTTTTATTTGATCTATTTGTTCCATTATCTAATAAGCTTGATTTTGCTTGTCTAGTAAGTGTTGGGCATGTTTTGTGTCCACATATTGGAATTTAATGCATTGTTGATGCACTTGATAGCTCTTTGTCTGATAACACTATTTCAATTTATTTATTATTATTATTTTTTATTTTTGAAGTTGAATATGGCTTCCAATACAAAGTAATTTCACCAGTCTCGCTAACGTCTATATGGGATGTGCCAATTTTGATAGCCATGTGATGTAGAACTAAATGCTTAAAATGAATTTAAAAGAATTTGCACGATTCCTTGATAGGAGCAAGTAAGATTATAACTATTAGCAAATTAAAACAATCAAATAAAACATAAGAGCGGTCACTTCCGTTTAGGCTAAGTTACATGCCAAGCACTTGGAGAATCAAAACAATTTAGAAATTCAATAACATGCAAGGAAATAACATTCAACAAAATCCCTAATCTAACAATTAGATTAGAAACATAGAAAGTACACTCAATCCTACATTTAAGCTCTGGCAATGGTGAAATAAAACCCTACGTTTACTAGGCTTTGGCAATGGCGAAACTCGACTCCTTGGGATTCATCATCACCTACAAGATTAGGGGATTAGAAAGGTGATTGAAGAGGGGGAGAAGTTCACCTTAGTCAAAGTCCGGAAACAAGTAGTCGATATGTTGAAGAAGTTTGTCGTAGGAGAGCTCGTATTCTGTGTCCCGGTCAGCCATCCATGCGAGAAGTCGCTGTTTTGACTTTGGGAAGGGTTGTATGACAAGGAGAGACTTCTTCAATGGTGCTATAGTGAAAATAGTCCAGCGGAAACTGCTGGACAGCAATTTGATTTTGTAAAACAGCAGCTTGGAAGCTTCAAGTTGCTGGAAGAACAATGATAGTTGCTGGAATTCTCTGGCTGCAGCCTTAGAAGGCAGAATACTCAATGTCCAATGGGATTTGGGGAGAGATTTGTGGAGGGAAGTTAGTATACGGGTCAGGGGAAGTTTCGGCCAGCAGGGAAAAGAGAGAGATGGGCTCAATTCCAAATTAGAATAAGGGATTTGGAAAGATTTAGAGACGTGGGGTTGAGGGGAAGCTCAGCCAATAGAGGTGGAGGGTATTGATTTCTTTCCAAGAGAGCAACTAGCAACATGGAAAGAATTCCCAAAGGAATTCAAGAGGGGGGGCTGGCGGTAATAGGAGAGAGGGAGGGGATGTGAGGGAATTAAAAGAGGTTTCCTAATTCATAATTAAGAAAAAGGAAAGATTTAATTAAATCCTTTCTCATTCAAAATTCAAATAGGAGTAATTAAGAAACCTTCCTAAAATAGATTTAGTAAATTAAGAAAGATTTTGAACTTAAAATCAATTGTATTTGAATTTAAAATCTATCCAACTTTGATTCAATCTAAATTAGGAAAGGAGATTTTAAATTAAAACATAAATAATAAGTAAAGGGGTAAAATGATATTTAATGTAAACATAATCATGTAAACATATTTATGTAATTTGATTCAATCTAAATTAGGAAAGGAGATGGCCGGCGGGGAAGGAGCTCGGGTGGGGGAAGATGAGGAGGAAATGTTTAAAGAATAAAGACCACGAACCCGGCCGTCTCCAAGGTTGGTGGGTGATGCGCAAATCTCCCTCTCCTATGGATCTCTCTCCATTAGAACTCACAAGTTCTCACAAAGCTCATGCAAGAGGAAAATTTCAATAAGCAATCATTCATTAATTCATGAAGAGCAACATGAGGGCTATAAATAGCCTCTTACAAAAGGACTCAAAATAAGAAGACGATAATGCCCTTAGGGCTTACATACGATCTCCCTTAAGTAAAGTGGTAAAATGAGAAAATAATTAAAACATAAATAATAAAAGACAAATAACATAATAAATGACAAATACATGAAAATGACTCAAAAATACGACGACTCGATCGTGGCCGTAGATCGACGGCCACGCCTTGATTCATGCTCTGATGTCCCCATCACCATGCAATCATATATCAATTATGTGTGTTAACTCATTTCATAAAATATTTCAATGAATTAAAAGTTAAAACTATATCCCTTTCTATGGTTTCCCTATTGTAAAAGTTTAAAAATTTTGATTTCATCACATTGGCTTTGTCAACCTTAACTTCTCAATTAATTTCTTTCGTTGTTAGAAGATATGAGCTTTCTTGTTATTAGGATGCACAAATGCAATGATGATTTAAGATAAGCTATTGATATGCTTGTAGGGAGACATAGGGCTTCTTTGGTTCACTCTCAAGTGTCAAACGACTAAAATGCATTTTCCTAAGGCATCCTTGGTCTAAGTCAAGCATAATCGCTAAACTTGCTTAAGCACGACAAACTCTTGGCTTAAAAGGCTAAACATAGCCAAAATCCATCAAATGAAAGATTATTAAAAATTTCTTAGTTCAAAATTATATAAAACAAGCATAGGGTAAGCAGTTAATTAATTTATTCATTAATAATATGAATTAATAATTAATTAGTCATTTAGTCTAATCAATGATTAATCAAGGTTTAACTAAGCTCATTAATATTCTTTATACTTAACTATTATGAATCTGAAATAATAAATCAACCTGTTAAAAATGAAGGCTGCATTTTTTCTCTCGCTCGCTCTGGGGGATGTTAGGGCATCGCCCTAGCCGCCCCTCCCGGCATTTCGAGTGCTGGATGCTTCTCCTCACCTATTGCAGGGAAGTTTGTCCTTCTTCTCCTTCGATCTGAGTTTTTTATGGCACCTTCTTGTTTTCGTGATCCTGGTTTTTTGGATGCTTCGTCTTCTCTTTCGTTTAAAGATGCACTTTCTAGTTCTTCCCCTCTTTTTGGTGGTTTTCCTGAGCTCAAGGTTTGCTCTCATAGGGGCTTGCCGGCGCTGTGGATTTTCGAAGCGGAAATCGCGTCGTTGGCTGCCCCGTTTGAACTTGCTTTGGTTGGTAAATTTCCTGGTCAGAGACCTTCGCTTGAAGCTATTAGGAGTTTTTTCTTCAAGCTTAAGCTTAATGGTGAGGTTTCAGTGACAGTTTTAAATCAGCGTAATGTATTGATCAAACTTTTTAACGATCTGGATTACTGTCGGGTCTTTGCTCATAGATCTTATTTTGTAAGTAATTGCTTCATGAAATTGATTAAATGGTCTCCTACGTTAGATGTGGAGGTTGAATCACCTATTATCCCAATCTAGATTTCATTCCCTAACTTACGGCCTCATTTATTCGCTCCGCGTATTCTTCATGGTTTAGGTCAGATCTTTGGTAAACCCTTGAAGACGGATAATGCGACCTCCTCTGGTTCGCGTCCTTCTGTTGCTCGTGTTTTAATTGAACTAGATGTGTCCAAGCAGTATCCGAACAAGATTTGGATTGGTCCGGATAGTGTTGGGTATGTTCAATCTGTCATTTTCGAAGACTTTCCTGAGTATTGTGCGCATTGTTTAGCCTTGGGCCATTCTAAAACGTTGTAAAATTCTTAATCCTAACCTTGTTTCCTCTGCTTTGCCTCCTCCTTCTCATTCTTTGGGGGTTGATTTAGCTGCTGTGCACTCATCTGATCTTGGTTTTCTCTCTACTGCTAAGGAGGGTGGTTTAGGTGTTGACTCTGTTGTCTCGGGTAGAGTCTCTCCTAACCCTATCTCGGCCACGAATTTGAATGAAGTTTGGCCTGCTGATGTTATTGTTGTTGAGCCTTTGGGTACAATTTTAAATCCTGTGGCAGTTCCTTTTGATAATGCTGTAGTTACTCCTGCTATGGTTGACCCTACTGTTGATGATGCACCTGTGGTGTATGTGGGTGCCATGGCTGTTGTTGAGCAGGATGTTCGGGAATGTTCTAGTAATGGCATTTTGATGGGTGGTGAACTTAATTCTTTGCCGGTTTTAAGTGAACTGTGTGTTTTAACTAAAATTGTTGCTCCTTCAGTGGCTATTGAGCGATCTGACTTCTTTGGATCCATGAAGGATTTGTCCCCTGTTTCTCAGGTTGGTGCCTCTTCGATTAATTTGGGAGTGGATGATATTCATAATGCTCGTGTCGATGTGCCAGTGAAATTAATTGAACCTCGAGCCTTTGTTTTTCATGTGGGGAACAATTCCGGTAGGGATGTGAGGAAGCACTTAGATTGGCTTCATGTTTCGTCTGATTCGGAGTCCGTTTCCTCTTTTGAGTCTAGTGGCGCGGACGATCCTGGTAATCCTTTTGCTTTGTTGCGTGATAAACCTGTTGTTTCTGGTGCCTCTCGTGGTAAAGCTCGTGGTAGGGGCAGACGTCGTTGGTAATGGCCGTGGCTTTTGTGGTTGTTGCCTTATGGTTGCATTTTTCTGGGGTGCAATTTTCTGGGATTGTGCATTGGATGGTCTGGTTGTTTCGGTGGTGAGGGTGGTTACCTTGACTTATTGTTGCCTGATGCCTTTGCATATGTCCGAGCTCTCCGTTTGTTTTTCATTTGGCCGGGCAATGATGTGGTTGGGGCTCGCTTGTCCTATGGCTAGCCCGTGGCAACCTTTGGTGTTGGCTTGGGTGCGTCTCTTCATCAAATTGGATGGTTCGGGCTTAGCTTAAGGGTAGCTGGTAGTCTCGGCCTTAAACTGA